TCGAGACCCGGTCGGGCCAAGACGGGTGGATTACTGACAGTCCAGACCATGTCAACTTTTCCATTTACCAGTATGTGTATGCACCTTGATTCTTTTACTCAATAGTAGATACCTAAGTCACTTGATTCAGGTTAGGAAAAATGGTGTGATCTAGTCGATATAACGAGGATCATGGTGAGTTGAGAGACCATGTGACCAGCCATGTACCATGTCACGCGCTCTCGCTTGCACTTGATGTTGGTACTCCGTACTCCGTAGGACTTGGATATCATGATCTGGATATCATGATTCGAAATCCTCGTAGGCTGGTACATACTAGAAATTGCTAGTTGCTATTGCTATCTATTATGCTGCGCTCGGATCTCCGGACGAAAAGAAATTAAATCCGAATTCCTCCTTGAATTGAAAAGTGTAAATATTAGGCTCCTGTCCGGCAATTCGCGGCATTTCGTATTCAGAGTCAGATTGGGATTCAGATTAGCAAGCAGGTGGGATGAAAATGAAGATGCTGGGTTATTCCTCGGGGCGCGAACCACGGTGCCGTGTTACCGACAGGCTGTGAAGGATCTACCGGGCCGAGGGCCCAACTGACCCTGTGTACTTGTCGTTTGGTTAGCTTGGTTAGTTGGTTAGTTGGTTAGTTACTTATCGTTATCTTCATAGATAGTGATAGTAGTATTAATAGTCTATCTAGCGGTATGGAGTACGGATACGGTGACATTGACACGGTTCAAGGGACATTCGGCTATCGGAGACATGGTAAGCTCAATCTATCGAATATTTGTCAAAATCATATCAGACAACCATTATTAATAATATGTTTTATCCTATTCCTAATCATAGCATGAAGAATTTTCACCGGCCGATATCACCGAGATACGCGGAGTACTCTGTACTCAGTCATCCAGGCCAATGCAGTCCTGAATATAGAGCATGCACAAGTGCAACCACCTTATCACTAACGTCCATCTAGACGAGCAGCCATGCCAGAAAATTTTTCACCTTGGCATCTCTAGTCCAAATCTAACTCGTGCAAATCGCAACTTAAACTGCATGAAAAAGTTTTTCAAGAACGAGTGAGTCCAACAGGAATGGACGCATTGACGCTACTCATGCATGCCCAAATTTAGACGGGGCTTCTAGAAGGCCGATAGAAAAATTCCTTCGACGCTACGGGGGAACCGTCGAATCCTCCGGCTAAGATTTTCCGGCCCAAGAGAGGAATGGAGGGATGCACGGAGTAATGTAGCCCTGTGAGAGGTGTGGTAGGCTGTATTGTCATGCACAATACACAGGGCTCCTTCGGTTTTGTTACCATATTCGTATTACCGCTGTTCCTTACCAGCAGCAGCTCCAGCTCCCTTGCTGATGGGTCCCAACAGCCCCACCAAAACCGAAGATCCCTCACCACCGACGGATGTGGCTGTGCTTGGACACCTGCATGTCAGCGAATCATGTCCGCAATCCCTCCCATCTGCAAAGAAACCTGCAGCAACAGAAGGGGGGGGAAAAACTTTTTCCTTCGCTGCATATGCACATTGCTGACCTGGCTGAGGTTCGAGGGGGAAAATTCCATGTGGTTTAAGGTGCTGACTATCGGGTAAATCGATCTAATCCTTGTTAGTTGGCACCATCAGTAAAAATCTTTTTACTTCAGCTCGGATGGATGGGTGAACAGTAATCATATTCTCGGTAATATCACAAATCACTAACGGAGTGGCAGTACTGTAGGTGAATGTCTGCTAGATCACCCCCTAAGCCGTCAGGGAAACATTGAAACGAGTCAGACAAGTCACATGCGTACCCCGGATTTCACCTCCCAGCTAGAGATAATCATTGCAGATAAGTCAGAGAGAGATATCCAGCTGAGACTCTTGACTTGCCAACCACCAATCGCAGGTTCATAATCGGGGATGCCTAGACATATGGAATGAAGGCAGATACCCACTGCGTGAGAACAAGACCCGCCGGGGTCCAGTCCGGCCAACGCCGAACGAGTCAACGATCCAGGTGCAAGTGCAAAACTGCAGGTGTAACAAGATCCGAGACACTGGTCAGACCTAGATGCGATGTTGACCTTTAGGAGTCGATTCCGAACGGTTACAGGGCATGAGGGCAAGAGTGTCCACTATCTAGTCTGGGTATCTGACGAGCCAACAACCGCACTCGTGCCAGTCATGCGCGGCCAGTCCCCGGTTGAAGGGAAGATGAGCCGCGTACGCGAATCCGTTGGTCATGAGCATGCATGTCGAGTAGAGTGAGACACAGGCAGCCAGATTCTGATCTTATGTGCTTCAGTTGAAGTTGCCACGGCTTCAGCTGTCATTCAAGCGGTGAGCGGGGAGCAATGTGTCTTGTGTCTGTCACCGGAGGATTGCGGTTGGCTACCATTGTATACCGGACAGTTGTCTTTTTTATAGCAAATGGGCTAGAGTACGCGGTGTTTTTATAGGCCGCTACTCTATTCCGCATTTAGGTACTTACTCGCATCCTGATCTGCTGGTATTCGCTAACAGCTGTCTAATATCTGCTCAACAAAGTCGACCGAGAATTTGCATGTGATAATCCAGGAAATTATTCGACTTTGCAAATTAATGAATAATAACGAATCGACAGAAAGCTATGGCTAGACTCTCTTGTTCATGGTATGACTCTTACATCGTCTTCGATGCCTAGATAGTGGTGATATTCAACAAGATCATGATTTAGGTCAGATGACCTCCACACAACGTGACTAGTACTCAATAGTCCGTAGTACCATGGGAGAGAAACAATCAGCTGACAGATTCCAGTGCTGAGCCTCACATACAGAGCATTAGCTTGAAAATCATCTTTTTCTACAACTGATAAATGCATTTGTAAATGCTCATGTGTCGCGAACTCGGCCGGCCGAGTAGTTATGTATACCTCAACAACCCCAGAAAGTCTGCTGTCCAGTAGGGGATGCCGAGAGCCGGGATGGTGGAGCTGCTGAGCAGGTATCTCCGAGTCTTCTCCGCTTCTCGAGCGCTTGTTTCTGCACACTTGCACAGTCCAGCAAGCAGGGATATCGCTTTATTGTTTTTGATCATGTGGTGATAATTGCTGCAACCGAACATGGAATGCACTAGATAGTGCTTAATAGTTGCCAGACGATTCTCTCGGTCGAATGTCGGTAGCTCGGCGAAGTCCGTACACGGCAACATTAATAATCATGAATAATGTGCATTCATACCTTTTGACACTAGCCACATGTCTGTGGCGCAAATGTGGCATATGCTTGGTCGGCTTATCAGCCCGCGGAGCTATGAACAAATCAAGCATGCCTTACTTGAGAACTTTCTCCTTGCCCGTTCCTAAGGATATGTCAGCCAAATGGTCCTGATTAGTCGATTTACACGGTCCTACCGTTTGTGCATATTGTCAGGGCCCTGCGTTGATACCAACACGAGATCGGGATCTTCAACGCCTGCGTGGACAGGAATGCATGGCTAAGCCACTGCAACTTGTCATTGGTAGCCTTAGGCTCAGAAATGGCACGATCGTCGGCCTCATCCCACCGTACTAGTTTGTTTGTTTAGGATGTGCGGTTTTACTAATAGCTTAGATATCATTTTATAATATTACAGAGTACTTGTTCCGACCAAATGGTGTATATGGGAGTCATAAGAGTGCTGGCATAGGCTAGCGACCATCTGAGTCATTGATTCTCATAATAATTGTGTTCCCCGGTGAGTCCTCGGTACGAGAGTCATAAAATGATGACAAATGGATAAGATTTATTTTCATTTTGAATATCTGTATTCTGAGGAGAAAGAAGAACAAAGAAACATCAAGAACTAGATACCTGTTGAATCGGCACATATCTCGGGTTTGTCCGACTAATTGGGCCCTTCAGGCATGACTGCCCTTCAAACTTACTCCCGACAGGAGTGTGGCTCGGTTACTGCAAGGGGATAGATGGTAAAATGCCAGTGCTGAATGACCTGTCTACGCTACGTAGACTCTACTCAGTGGTACCTGGTCGAGGACAACACATCCATCTTTAGCTGCAGGAATTGTGGCTTGGTAGATACCCGACTCCATAATGGTGGGTTCATCATTTTTCGAGTCTCGGTGGGAGGTGGGGCCAGGTGGATGGGCGCTAAACACCCCCAGACAAAATCAGATCGATCAATCAAACCTTCAGGCAGTACGTATTGGTAATTATGGTATTTTTCCCAAGGTATTATTTGTAATCCTGAGTCAAGGATTGACCGTTGTCATAACTCCTTCGGGCGAGCCCGTAAAACATGACAGAAACTGACTCTGACGCTAAGTTAGTTAGTTTGCTGTGAATTGTACGACGACGCTAGCCCTTTGGGGATTTATTGCATCATTATCATGATCATAAATGAGTCCCTTGTCCCCTCCTGTCCATACAATGATCCTGCTTCGACCTCCAGATACCTTGTACATTAGGAATCCGATCTTGGACCTCTCGAGTCATTCTCACATCATATCCCTTGTTATCAATCTTTTATTAACTCCTGTCTGGAGTTCCCATCTCCTACCTCCTCCTCTTCCTAGTAAGTGATCCCTATTGCTACTATACTACGCTTCATACCTGGTCTCTTTTCACCATACACACACAAGCAATTGTCATCACATCATAATCACCTTCGGTTCAAACTTTATACAGATAACTAATCAAGTAGCTCGCTCAAACTTCCAGTCCTCACATCTTGAACCCTCCAGTTGAGACTCTGGTCTGCCCGCCGCTTCCAGACTCTTCGATATCATCTCTGCTTCGTCAACTCCGTACCACGTCTCGTGCTCAACTTAACTTCCGCTCGAACCGTTCTGTCGGTCGCACCACGAACGAGGTAATCGGATCTGAGCCCGTCGGGACTTCTTGGGGCCGTTGGTGCCAACCTATTATTTAAACTCTCCTGCCCCCGGTGGCAAATCCTCTTCGCAAATTCCCTCCACTCGGTGTCCATCATCCAAGTCTACCGTCCCAAATTTTCCAAGAGACCATTATGCTTATGTACCCTTCTGTACGTAAGGGTCTCATCACTGAACCAGCATCTGCACCTTTTGTCCACCAGCAGGACCCCGTTTGCATACAAGACGATCAGTTCATCCCAGACTTCTCTCAGCAAGACCCTTCACTGCAGTGTTTCTACCAACAACAGCCTCGACTGCAGTCTCCCTTTCAGTATCAACCTAACTTCGAATTTGTCTCTCCGCCCTCTTCCGCTCCCTCGTCACCTTCCTCCTCTCCCGCCTCTACCTTTTCCCACCTTCCCGCGACGGCAGTCGCGCAATACTCGCCTGCCGTCGCCGACGGCAGTTCCTTCGAAGCTCCTTCGATGACACCTGCTTCATCGTACAACCCTTCGATTCATATTCAGCATTCGACCTCGCCTCCAACTTCCAACCCATACCTGACACAATACCAACCCCCATATTTCTACAGCAACCACCATAACAGCAACCCCATGTTGGCGCAACATACTGTCGCAAACAACCACGGTTGGGAAGGCAACCTGCAGCTCTTGAGTCCAGCTCGCATTTCAAACGGTCTCTCCCGGTCCTCATATCAAGACTCGCAGCTACAGACCTCTCCTGCCTCCAGCAAATCTGCCCCAGCAGGAAGCGTGCAACGGTCCAACAACGGTAGCCTGTCAAAGCCTCTGCCTACACCTGTCCAGACGCCTGTGCAGAACTCTTTCCTCGCCACACCTTTTCAGAACTACAATCCATCCGCACATGATGCTAGTCAGGCCGAGGCAGAAGCGGCTATGAGACGGGCTGTGATGGAGCAGCAGCAGCAGCAAAACAACCAGCAGCAACAATCACAAAACCAATCAAGTGACTACTCACTGGCTCCCTCCGTTTCGACCGTGAGTCACAACTCGCCGGTGACCCCACAGACAAGCTTTGACGAGATCGACGATGCATCGAAGGCGATGGCTAATGGTGAGAACCGATATCCMGATGTAGACCGGTGGATGGATGAATACTTACATGCCGATGCGCTTTCAGACTACGGAAACCACACTGGTTCCAATATGACCATCGGCATTCCCAAGCTCAATCGCACAATCTCAGACATTTACCAAGATGAGCTATACAACCCTGCCATCATGCCAGCACCACAGGTCCCAAAGCAACCCTCCGGCAACCAGCATTACCGCAGCGTCTTTGCAGATCGTCTGCAAGCTGCCAATCAGGGTCACCTATCTGCACGGTCTCAGTCTCCTGCAGTCAATCTGAACCGTGATCGTTCGCCCTTCCGACAGAACTCACCAATGGCGGCTGAGTTCGGCAACGTTGCTCAACTGGCGACCAGCGTGCCTATGCCTCAAGGTACCATGAATCTGGGCCAGTCTCAGACGGAGCCCAAGACCATGTCTCCCAAGGATGCGGTCCTAGACTTCCATGAGACTGAAGATGCTAGCATGCCGCCATTGTTCCCTTCGACTCAGCCTGATTTCAATCTCAGCGATGCGTTGGGCTTGCGACGTGAGAGCAGCTCTTCGTTGCGACAGGCACAAAACTTTCCATCGATGGATTCGTTTCCTGGTCAGTTCAACACACAGACCAACTCTCTGTCTCAACAGTATCCCTTTGTCCAGCAACAGCAGAACCACCGCCAGCCGCAGCACCAGCAGCAGCAGAACAATTTGCTTCACCATACACCCGAGTTTCCCGCCTCTCTTCCGCACCTTGAGTCTAATGGAAGCGAGGTCATTCAAAATGATATGACTTCGCCTCAATCCAACATGAACATCCTACCAATTAAACAAGAGATTACTCGGCCAGACAATACATCTACAGATGGTGGCACCTACACCTGCACCTATCACGGCTGCACTCTACGCTTTGAGACGCCGGCTAAGCTCCAGAAGCACAAGCGAGAGGCTCACCGCCAAACTACCCCTGGCGGTCATCTCGTTAGCCGCGATCACTCGGCACGGAACTCCCAGGCTGGCCCCCACAAATGTGAGCGGATCAACCCTTCCACTGGGAAACCCTGCAATTCTGTCTTCTCGCGACCGTATGATCTTACGCGGCACGAGGACACGATTCACAACGCCCGTAAGCAGAAGGTTCGATGTCATCTGTGCACGGAGGAGAAGACCTTCTCGCGCAATGATGCGTTGACCCGGCACATGCGGGTGGTTCATCCTGAAGTCGATTGGCCCGGTAAGCAGCGGCGCAGGGGCCGTGAATGAAAAGCTAGCGGAGCGTTTTGGGCGCGTGTGCGCTGATGCACACCCAAATTGCTTCACCTCTCGAAGTTTCTATCCGATGATTGTCTCAAATCATTTCAGAGCTTCATCGGAGCGACGAATAGGATGATCCCCCGTTTCCGCTCCTGCATCGACGTCTCCGTGACTCAGGATGACGGGGTTCAGCCTATGACGTCAGAGGCTTATCGTGATTGGCGATGGATCCACTGATAGTTGCCGATCGACGGTGACAACTTCCGTTTCGGGCTAAAGATGCCTAAGGCGCTCAGAAAGTGCTAGAATGACATCATGAAACCCTCGTCTTAATTGACGTACAATACGCAACATACACAATGATGATTCTGTGGTTACGTCTTCCAATGGTTTACGATTATCATTTTTCTTTTTCCTTTTTTTTATTACCTTTTTCTGAGTGTTTTGTTTCAGCAAGCACGTTTAATGCATTGCGTGGTCTTTTCTTTTTACTCCCTGGGTGTGAAAATGGGTTGCATGAATGGACATTCTGTTTGGTTGAATTATTCCTCGCAAATTGAGATTGCCGCTTGATTTTATCAGCATGGATATGACTTGGGCTTGTGTTTCTTTCAGCATGCGCCATGATTTCCGCGCGTTTCATGTGTACTATATGGACATTTATGTACGAGTGTCACGCTTATGATGTCTGCATGTTTTCCGTTTTTGTGTTTGATGAACATTGCCTTGGTGTACAAAGGGTGAAGATGGGATTGTATACTATGGGAACCTGTACACTAGTAGTGAAGTGACTAATGATAGACTGTCGATATTCATTATGCATTCATTGATCCTATGATTGAGACCATTGTAATACTGTTGATGCACTAAGGTATCATGATATTGCCGTCTGAAACTCTTACGGCATCAGTAGCAGTGACGATCGCAATGTCAATAGCTCTATGTACTCGTACTCAACTCTTCATCCCTGTAAGAAATTCGAAGATTGTCCGTTTACCTCATACTCAGCATTACCAGCCATTCGACCCCTCTTTCAACATCAGTATGAACATTCGCTGACGTCCCGGTTCGCCTATTCCGTCATGATCGTCATGTATAGTAGTTTCAAGGATGTAACAGAGTTCTTCAGACTTACATGCAGCTTATCTTCCTGTTGTTATAGGTGGATGGTGATATCCACTGGGGTGTATGGAGTGTGTGGGACTACGGCAGTGGGGATGCTGATTGCGAACTGAACTGTAAATTGGGCTTGCGGAGATGGCAGGGACCCTTCCGCTACCTTAGTACGTACGTGTTAGACATGGAATGTGAAGTACAAGTAAGTAGATTATTGCTTATGAGGTTGTCTGTTATGCCACAAGGTGAGGCCGAATCGAGATACATGCCCAACGTACCAATGCTCATCATCGAATGATCGTGTTTGGGTTGTCGACAAGTAACCACCTACTTCATTTGTATGAACTGACGTTAGTGAGTAGAAATTGAGATAATCTTACTGGCAAGTACTTATCTACAACGTAAGTGGGAGGTCAATGTAATCCCTGCAGTGTAGATCATGACGCCATGGTACGTAGTCTATCCGCTGAGATCCACACCCTAACTTTGTCATACCTCTGGTAGCTGAACTGTTCTCCACTTTGTGTGGCTGGTGAGTCCGATTGTTTGGATTGATGTATTGTTGGTATTCACTTGGGCTGTATTACCTTAATGTTTGGTGTTTAGGAAATACGGTCAATTTGATCGCTGTATGCTTGTCATAAAAGCTTGCAGATGTAGTAAAGTAAGGCCATCAACTACGCGGTATCTTGCGTACATGACTCCCATCTATCTCACGTGCCGGCACTGTGGTCTGTCTGTTCGTCGAGCTGGGGAGCTCGTCACTGTCGCCGTCGTTGCTCCTCCAGGCACTTTCCATAAATATGTCCTTCTCTGCCTCTTCGGCCTCGGCGGCTCGCTGGGCTTCGGCTGCTGCTCCTTGTCGCTGACGTGTGTAGAGTAGCGCTGCGGAGAGGATGGCTGCGCCTGCCACCGAGCCGACGGCAATGCCAGCGATGGCGCCTTTACTGAGTTTGGTCGGCGCTGGCTGCGGAGCACTTTCGCTGCTGTTGCTCGCAGGCGGGTAGAAGAAGCTGGCGAGTTCGGGCGTACTGAACCCATCCAAGGGTGTCTTCCTGGTTACATTTCCGTTGGGCCTATCGAGAATCGGTCAGTTGCTACAAAACTTCGTCGTTGTGGCAGACTTACCCCCCGCCAACTACTTCGTAGACTTTGGCCGGGACCGCGTAATCTGCAGCAGACGCATCATATACACTGCCCCATGTCAATGTCGACATGTCGTAGATGGCAACGCCTCTGTATTCCCAGTCGCAGGTAGAGAGGTCGTCAGACAATGCTCCTCCCACTGTCAACATCTGTCGGTTGGCTACCAGGTGACAGGTGTGCCCGTAGCGTGGCGACTTTCCCTCGAAGACTTTCGTCCATGTGAAGGACGGGATAGAAAGCACGTAGATCTCGTCGTATAACCCGTTTGCGCCCTTGCCTCCGTACATGTATACATGGTGGCTGGAATTGTCCTTTGCAGAGACAGCGACCAAGCAAAAGTCCGTCCGTCCGGTAGGTATGTCCCCGGACGCTTTCTGTGCATACCAGATGCCGTTGTCATCGCCCTCGAAAATAGACGAGATGTCGAAGATATCGATCTCGTCGAAGGGCACCTATTAACAGGACTGGTTAGCGTCAAATCACAGACCGAACAGTACGTGTGAACATACGTAGGTTCCCTCGTTGGACGCGCTACCGTCACTCGCTGGCTTGGTGATACCGCCCACTGCGACCAATATGCCTTTGGGTCCTATGCCAGGGATGTAGACCATGCCGCCCTTGGCTCGTGGAAAATTTGCCTGTGAGCTGGTGGATATGTTTGTCGCCAGCTGGGCGTGGGTATCAATGACGATCAATCCATCCAGGTAGCGGAGAAGGCCGTCCGAGTTCTCAAGGTCATTCGATGTCCCGTTGTTGATGTATCCGTTGAGATAGAATGCCAATTCCTGGTCTGGAGCCTCGGCATACGCTCCTCCTGCAGGTCGGTACTCAGCGCCCAATGTGACGTCAAATTGATCCCAGGAGCCACGGCTGGTGTTGTACGACCAAAGCGCATACTGTGACGAAGTTGGTTTTTGGAAACCAGGAAAACTCGTGTTCACATATGAGACAGTTCCGCCATATTGGTAAATGCTCGAGTCCGATGGCGCTCCCGCATACAGTGCCCCACGAACAACCACAGGAGGATTTGTGCCAGTTCTAGGGTTCGGTTTCTTCGAGACAGCCTGGATCGAGATATTCTGTTTCCAGTCCCAAGAAGACATCAGGTCAACCTCGATCAAGCCAGTGTCTAGGCACGGTCAGCGCTTCCGACGTGAGTCTGCTCGAAATTGCATCAAAAGAACATACTATATCCGATCACTCGAGCGCCTTCTGGCGTTCCGTTGTTGTTTTTCGCAACGAAGACTTCGAGACCTCCGTCGATGTACAGAGTCTTATTCGTCACTATTGACTGATGATACAGTCTTGAACAGTAATTGTCGACAGGATCAATTCCTGTCGCGTTGGATGCTCCTCTTGCTAGCGATACAGCGAGCAGGAGTATTGCTACAAGCAACGCAGGCATCCTGGTGTGCCTTCTTGAAACTATGGTCGCGGTGATGAGCGATATTGCGGCATCAGGGCCAACCGAGCAGCAAGGGCTCTATGTGCCCTCGATGGGTAGTAAAAGCCGAGCTTAAGAGTCGCACGAACTCGCAGCCATCTTCTGCCAATTATCAGTCTCACCAGCTTGTGCAACCCATCGATCCGATTCCCCCTCCACCATACTGACCTGCAGGGTATGAAAATCCCGTCCGCGTGTACCGGCCACTTTTTCCCGGGAGCCTGGCGAATCTGACGGCCTGAACTGAAATGTGTGGTCGCACTACAGGTTGGAAATCTCCTGAAATAGATGCTGAGACCGCTTATCGCTTACACAATATCAGATTGGGGTCCAAATTCAAAAGATCCTCCCTGTCAATCTTGTGGCGTACTCAAATGCTGCAATTGCCAGTTCGGCCCCTCTCGTCTTTTGAAGAATCAGGGTCCGTCAACCGCCCCTTGAGCGACGCCAGGACATTTTAGCCCTCGCATCGTCTCTCCACGGAGGTGCACAAATCCGCATGTGCATTTACGCCCCGTCTCATACTGGCCCGTGGCGCGATCTCTAGTCTGGGTGACACCGGCTCGTGTGAGAAAGATCTGTCAATGATTGGCGCAACAGGAATGTGCCAAGGCCGTGCCAAGGACCGCTTCGACACTGGCTGACTCTCTCCGTTGCAATCAGGTCAGAAATAATTCCGTGCATTTATCAAGTTGAGCCGTTGAAGGCTGGGAGAAGCTCGTGTAGAAGGCCGGGTGTGCTTCATCAAGGAATGTTTGTCCGTCTACATTCCTTGGCGGGACGGGCTGAAGGCTTGTTGTGCATGGAATATTACCTTTGCGAGAGTGCATCGAACAAGGTGTCATTTTACAAGAGGTGGGGTATCCTAGCAGCTTGAGCCGCAAATATCCGATGATTGAGATAATAAGAGAAGTGCTTACTGGCAGCTAAATGAGTCTGTTGTCGTCGACCTGCGTGCTCTGTGTTCTGAAATACTCGGCGTATCCTGTGAGAGACCGATGCGCGCAGGGGAGCCACAAATCAAAGAGATAAGCTTTTCCCGGTCGCATACTTGTCGGATGGATCCAGGTATGTCTGAGGATGGAGTATGGACTGATGGAGTCGTGATCAACTGCGGCGTCGAACTTGGCGAGAGCTTCGTAGGCAGAAATTCTCGTGGTCTCGTCGTCTGGTGGCCTAAGGCAGAAGACTGCCTACAGCAGGTGATTGCTTCTACATCTGAACCTTAGGCTCTGCTGGTACTCGTTGAGCGGTGTAGTTGCTCTCAATAATAACGCGTCACTTAAGGAACTCTTGATGGCCTCGACCAAGCAGTGCATCCCGGTCCTGTAGCTACAGTGCTACTTACGAAGTCTACGGAGAACACTGCCTATCTCATTTAGGATGACCTCCCCGCTCGACCTTGGTCCCTGCTGATTCGCCTATGCTGTGTATATTTGTGACGCATTCGGGGTTAATGAGTTAGTCAGTGAGTCAGAGCTGAACTTTGTAGGATGTGTGCGTTTCTGGCTGCCGTCGGATCAGATTTGTCGTCCTATCTGTCTTTGGACTTGTCTCGGTTCCGTTCGCGGCGCGTCCAAGTCCCCTGGAGGGGGCTTCCATCCACGCGTGCTATAATCTCCTCTATTCGCAGCTACGAGTCCAACGACACCAGGTAGGCTCACCAGTTTCGTATATCCGGCGATGATCCGGCGTCATGGTTGTATTGTTTCCCTTGTTATACCGCAGCTACCCGCCTCCTTCCCTTGTTGGATTTTGAAGTCCCTTGATCTTGGTTCCTGGTCTTTCGGTATGATCGCTAGTCAATCGATATCCATAGTCTGCCGTGTTGATATTCTGTAGCCGGAGGCCCGTCGGGTCGTATCTTGATCCCATGGTCAGTCGCAGGGGCTGAGCAGCATCCCATGTCATGTGGAAGCCGGGGCAGGAGTACGGAGGGCGGAGGGCGGAGGGCGAGGGATTGCGTGCACTATGTGTGGTCAGGAGAGCTGTGCTTTTCAATTTGGAGTCAGTTCAGTATGGAGTCCAGCTGAAGTTGTGTCGCGTGCATTGTGCCTTCAGGGCTTCAATCTTGCATTGGATCAGTGGGTGGAAGCTGGTGGTGAACAACGCAGCCCGCAGTTCAAATATGCCGATACATTGATGAGCTTGGTGCGGCAAACAGTGTAGATTTCATCATACGTGATATGTGGTGCATAATATTGGGGTGTCATTGCTCTCCTATGTGGTCTACCTCGGCAGTGAGTTGACTCGAAAGGTCATCGCAAATGCATTGCGTTGCGTTGCGTTCAGTGGATGAGAACGAGATGTGGTTGCTGGCCAGTTGAACCCCAGTTGAACCCGGGTTCAACTCCTCCGCCATGAGCAAGGTGTGTGTAGGGTAATCAGCTACCGTCTTTGATTTTTCATGATCCTCGGCCTGCAGAACTTTCTGTGATAAATATTATATTCGGGCTGATATGTCTTAACGCTCTACTCTAAGCATATCCGATTTTTATAGTCATTGCCGCGATTTTTGTGGTGAATACTTTGTCGGGTAGTCTTTTGCGGTCGATCCTGGAGGTATCTCTCCTACATCTCTACCAGCGTCGTGTATGATATAATATCGTGTTGTGATGTTTTGCTATAGGCCTTGTATGCTTTGATTGTGTTCCATGTCAACCGAGGTGTAAAAAGAGCCAGTGTCTGGGTATGTTGTGTCGATTTCGCCTATTCCATATGTTCGTCAAAATTATATATATATTTCCCAACAACCAGTGCACCACATTCAGATAACACCCAGTGTACTTCAACACAACAAGATAAAAGCTCAATAGTTATTAGTAGAGTTGAATTATCAGACTACAAAGATACGAATAAAATATCAAATTCACCAGTTTAATGTGTGCTGAAGCCGAGATCAGACATATTATCGAAGAAGGTCCGACGCACCAAACCAGGCAGAAAGGCGCAACATCAACACCCACAAGCGAAGACTTACTCACAATACACGGATATGAACCGGCTACTATGGAAAAAGGGCAGAAGAAATGTCACGCACAGATACGCGTAGCCACTTGAAGATACATAATCTATTACACAGCATGTCACATCACAACAGAGTCAAAGGAGTCCGCAGGAAATCGACGAGACCGGAGCATGATCAGACGCGTCAAGGAAGGCGCAACGAAAAGGAGAGCTACAATTCACCACAGCTACAAGTCCAGAGAGATTTAATGTTTTGACTGTTCGTATTCATATTAGATTGCGTTTGATGCTGCAATCTCTTCAAGCCCGGGGCACAGCCAGAAGCATAAAGGCCGCTATGATACAGAAATTCAAACACGAACACTAGCAGACCAGTAGTGGACGCGCAAGGGTAGTAAAATAAAGCATGATAAAAGCAAACCCAGAGACCCATGACACTTTAAAAAGATCAAAGAAAACACCACAACGTCCCAGTCATACCGTAAACCAACCCGAAAAAGCAACCCGTCGCGTCACTGCTGCGGAAGGACAATCGACGCGCCGACCGCGCAGGATGGCTGAAAAAAGGAAAGCAAGAGGAGAACGCTTAACCACCGAAACCGTAGAGGGTGCCTGAGAAGATTGTCAGAGACGAATCAAAAACCGAAATGACCAGAGATACTTACGTCCTTGTCTCTTCAGAGCATAGACGACGTCGAGGGAAGTGACAGTCTTTCTCTTGGCGTGCTCAGTGTAGGTGACAGCGTCACGGATGACACCCTCAAGGAAGGTCTTGAGGACACCACGGGTCTCCTCGTAGATCATGGCAGAGATACGCTTGACACCACCACGACGAGCGAGACGACGAATAGCGGGCTTGGTGATACCCTGGATGTTGTCACGCAAAATCTTGCGGTGACGCTTGGCACCACCCTTTCCAAGACCCTTGCCGCCTTTGCCGCCTGTAGAGAAGAAACGCGTCAGTGACTGCGGTCAAGTCGCGTCGTACTTGTGATCAAAAGCGAAGCTACTTACGTCCAGTCATGATGATAGATGGGAACTAAAAAAGGACTTTGTGTGTGTGTTTAATAAGTGGAGATGTCGAGATAACGACTTTAAGTGGATGACGGATTGGACTGTTGGAGGAGAGAAGAGCTTGAAGAAGTTTGGGACGGGAGATATTTGTATAGAGGAAGGAGGAGCGCGGGGAGGCTACTGGAATCACACGCTAAGAGAGGGATCGACCAATCAGAAAAAAGGATCCTCGCAGCGGGTTTGATCTCTCGGCAGCGTGACGGAACAGTGATTGATCCCGTTGGGAATGCCTTGATCCCCACGGAATGTCGCTCACACACTCTGATCAGGGTTGTAAAATAATTAGAAAAATTCCTAAGTACTATTAGAAGAATTCCAGATGATCGAAATACTTGAAATTCTAGACTTGTGGTTGGGATCAAGATGTTCTGGGTAGCATTCTATATCAGTGATCCTGTGTTCCTATTGGCTGATGCGGGAAGCTGTCTCGCTTAGCGCCCCGAGCAAGGGCCGCCTGCATTCTGCGTACTTTCATGGTTCCTGCCAAAATTCAGTCCCCGAAATCAGGACTTATGGTGTGCTGCTTTCCGACCACTTTTTGTGATCAAAAGAAACCGCGCTAAGACCATCCATTTTTGCTGGCAACCCAACACCACCCTCCCAGATCACCACCCCTTCTCGCTTACTACAAATACCTTGCCCCCCACCCACCTCCTCCATCCTTCTTCCATCTACTCACTACCACGACACTTTCGTCATCTCGATCATCGATCTTTCATCAACACCATCACTTTTTCATCAATAAAACATCAAATTCCATCAAACTTAATTATCTAAAATGGCTAGAACCAAGCAGACTGCCCGTATGTATTAACCTTGCTGTCGTTTCTCTTGTCGTCGTCGGCCTCTGCCAAGATCGTATCACGGTCGCGTCAGTTGGCCGACATGACCACGCGTTACTAAGAAACATCCTGCTAACTGTCTGTCAATAGGTAAGTCCACTGGTGGCAAGGCTCCCCGTAAGCAGCTCGCTTCCAAGGCCGCTCGTAAGGCTGCTCCCTCTACCGGTGGTGTCAAGAAGCCTCACCGCTACAAGCCTGGTAAGTCCCCTGTATTATGTGCCTGTTATCCAAGAACATGTTCTAATATTTGCCCCAAGGTACCGTCGCTCTGCGTGAAATCCGTCGCTACCAGAAGTCCACTGAGCTCCTGATCCGCAAGCTGCCCTTCCAGCGTCTGGTTCGTGAAATTGCTCAGGACTTCAAGTCCGACCTCCGCTTCCAGTCCTCTGCCATTGGTGCTCTTCAGGAGTCCGTTGAGGCCTACCTCGTCTCCCTCTTTGAGGACACCAACCTGTGCGCCATCCACGCCAAGCGTGTCACCATCCAGTCCAAGGACATCCAGCTCGCCCGTCGTCTCCGCGGTGAGCGCTCTTAGATGCATTCTATCTAATGAGTTGTGTCTTTTTCCGGTTGGCTCTTCTGGGAAGGCGATAACGGGGTTCTTGTTTTCTTTTTTATGATCACTGGCGATACATGATGGGTTTGCTTGCTTTCGAATATCAAATGGGTTCGGCACTGGGTTTCTAGTTTTTCTTCACGATGAATAGTAGGCTGCCGATTCAGCGGCTGGGATTTGCTCATGTACATTATGGATCTCTCGAGTTGCTGTCCTTCGGGAAGCACCACGTCGCGACATAGACGCGAAATGCGAATATCTATGTTTAAATCAATCCAACCCAGTCCGTGTCTTTTGCAATTATTTTCAACTATTCTCGTGCCACTGTTTCTGTAGCGGCAACGCGCCACGGTCGCAAGTCGGCCGCGGACCAGTTACCAGGCTAGGTCATCGTAGAACCATGCTTGACAAATGACCTGATCGTTACAAACGCGAAAAGTTGTCTGTTTGACATTGTCCTTCTATTCAATCAACTCCACGAAGCAATATGGGCAGTTGAAGTCGCTCCATGTCTACGGCGAATCTGCACTTGGTGAAGGCACAGTGGCGAACCGTTTGACGCTGGATATCTCTTCATATTATTACGCAGAGTGGATCTCAAGAGCGCCTATGACCCTTTCTTAAAATTTACGAAAAAATGTAGCGCCAACTAGGAACTGGAATGATGATGACATTGATGCTATATATGATGCCAGGAAGGCATCCTGACGAGGCATGGAGTAGCAATGACGACGACGCTCTACTAGCGAACACACGTCTTCTGTCGTTACCTCATCAGCGCGGTACAGTAGACTAAATGATACTAGAATTCTGCAGTGCTCTATACTTGCATACTCAGTAGAGGAATATTAATATTGTTCGGGAAATAAAAGAAGAAGAAAATGCGAGCCAGGCGGCTCTGGTGCATGTCTCGACTGCTGGTTTCGCATCGGGCTCGTTGACGGCGCGGTCCTTGCTTCGGTCGGGATCACGAACAGGGACGCTCAGTTACAACTTGTCAGCCGGTCGCTCTCCTGTTCCATGGGTTTGTCATTATCATTGAAAGTAGTCTGGATGAAAACAGTACGAAGATTAGATACACTCTTTCTGACAGGTAATTAGACCGCTAGACCTAGAGAGTTGTTCAGAGCCAAAAGCATCCGTTCCCCGTAGTATAGGGGCGGGTGTTAAAATCGATCTTCCAAGACACCTGGCGCGCTTTCTGACGTGTTTTGCTCATTGTTGTCCGCGAGTGATCCCAGCGCAATGCGAAGAGTACGAATAACGGTGACCGAAACCCCGCAACTAGCTGAGTTGCAGAGCGCCTAGGCTACAGAAAGGACTCTTTGGATGTCGAGGAGGATGAGGAGAACCGCGCTGGGGAACGACGTCGAGGGCACCGATCCATTGAGGAGGAGCACTTGCAACGAGGCCATCTCGCGCCTTTAAATTCTGACGCAATTCGATAAGCCTGAAGGGAACATGCCAAAAGATACAGCAAGTTAAAGCCACAGAGCGAACAGATCAAAACGACTTGATATGGCGATACTGGGCCACCTTCTGGAAAGATGCTATCAGCGATTCTACTTGCAAAGTCGGCCGCTTGCTAAGAAATCGTCAGGAGAGATCTGGACGCGAGTCGACGGCATTGGGAAAGAACTGAGATACTAGTTGTTGGATGAAATGATCTCTAATTAGATATATGTATATGATTAGTTGTACATGATAATTACAACAATACTGTTCCAATGAAAAAGACGCCATCTATAATGCAAACATAACAAGACATGAACTGAGTCAACATCAGTCGGGTATATGACTTCTGAACAAGGACAAACTTTTCCTGCCACAATCAAGGTGCATATGCTCTGGCCGTAACAAATGACAAGCGCATTATAGACAGTGTTAATAAGGATTATTCGGTATCGACAAATGTGCATGTGCTCGACCGGCAGCTGCTAAGTCAAGCAGGTTTGGGGCGTCCTCGACTATGAATCGAGCAAATGAGCGACTGATAGTCGAAGCCCGTTGAGAGAGAAGGATGGGATAGGTTATCTTGACGGTTATTTCTTGAACGACTCGCGAGTGTTGACACGGTCGATATCATAAGGATTTCCGTCATAGCTGACGACGCGACGCAACGAAGCAGCCGTCCGTGTGGAGGCTCTACTGCGCATCTGCCGGACATCCGGAAGTTCTTCAACGTTGGACTCAGTCTCACTGACATCAGATAACTCAGGGGCAGGTGCCTCCGTCCGGTCAAAGACTGGCTCCTCTTTCTCCTCAGACTCAGGCTCTGAGGCTTGCTGCATCTGCTCGGCAAGCTTCCGCATGAACGCATCTGATTTGGCCGCATACTCGCAACGCTTACGAATGGTAGCGCCGTATTTATAGAAGAGGAAAGGGAACGGAACACAGGCAAGTGCCAAAAAGGCCGGGATTGAGGACGCCCAATGGATTCCTGTTTTCACAATTAGCCTCTTGTCAGCAAGGACAGATTCGAAAGAGAAATCTTACCTAGATCCGAATACATATAGGTAGTGAACAACGGGAACACGGCGCCGAAGACAGAACGAAGGACGGAATTGGCTGCGAGGACTGAAGCGGCGAAAATGGTGTATGCATCGATGAGGTAGTTCATGATGCCCAGGAAAACTAGAACCATACCGAAACCGAACGGAGCACCGGCGATGATGCAAACAATCCAATGGATCGACGGATAATTGGTCCAAGCAAACCAGAAGAGTCCAATAGGGATGGCAATCGAAGCAATCAAGGTGGGCGGCAGGCGTGCCTCGGGGGGAGCGAATCCACCATGCTTGTCTTGAACCTGGACATAACGTTTGTTGTCCCAAACACTGTAGGCGACAGCAAACATCATGCCAACCATGATTCCCAAGAATGGAAGACTGCCAACGCCTTGGTTCCAATGACGGACTCCCTGGAAGACGATCGGGTAGGCAGAGAAGAGCATGTAGAGGGTTCCATAAATGATGGCCATGTACAAACTCAGGAGGAAGACGATCGGTTCCTTGAAAAGCAGAATCCACGGGCGAGAGAGCGCAGTCTTGAAAGCTTCCTTGAGAGTAACTCTGCCCTGGTCAATATCGATCTTGCTGACGTACACTTTACCGGTGTGCTTTGACAACTTCTCAGCGCGACGACGCAGGAGAACAGGCGCATAGGTCTCGGGAACGAAAAGAGTGCAGATGATCCAAACCGCGCCAGAGAAGGCACCCAAGAAGCCCATGACCCATCGCCATCCTGCGTTCATTCCGAGGAAGCCACCGATGATCGGACCCAGAACAGGACCTGAGAAGCGTTAGCATGTCGCTTAATACAGACCGACGGAAAAAAAAACATACCCAAGAATGGAGCGGCAGCAAAGAGACTCATTGCGATACCTCTCTGCTTGGCGTGGAACATGTCAGCGATGACACCACCCGCGTTGGTCAAAGGCGAGGCTCCGAAAGCGCCGGCGAAGAAACGAAGGATGATCAGAGTCCAGCTATTCTGAGAGCCAGCACTTCCAGCATTAAAGGCCGTGAGTGCGCAATAGGTGACGGTGAAAATGATTTGACGGCCGAACATCTCACTCAGAGGTGCCCAAAGCAGAGGTCCTATTAACTGTATTAGCCTCTAACAGGTAGGCTTCGAAGAACGACTGAAGACAACTCACCAATGGCGAAACCCAAGACGAAGAGGGAAACACCGAGAGTAGCAACCTCACTTCCAATATGGAACTCGGCTTCAATTTCTCGAACACCACCGGTATAAGCTGAGGAGACCAGTGCGACTGCCAGCGTCGAAACCGCAACAGTCATGGTCAAAGTCCATTTGCGCAGTTGAGTCCATGTCATAGGATTGCGGGGATCATTCTCAATCCAAACAACCTCGTACGGATCCTCCTCGGTTCCTGAGCCTTTGTAGGGATGGTCGATAATTTGCTGGGTGAGGACGCCTTGATCCACCACCAGTCGCCAGTATGGAATCTTCTGTGTCATGGGCTGTTCAATCTTCTCGGGGTTCTGGACCCCTTTTTCGGTCGCCATGATGGCGATTGATCGGTGCGGAACTCGAGTGGAGGTGATATATACGGGTTCGTGGAATATTCAGAAGTAGTATATATCTGGACAAGAGGGATCCGAGATTGTTTGTTTTGAAATCGCGATCGTGATATATGAAGAGAGATTAGGAATTCAGGTACGGAATTCAGGTAGTATGAATAGTAACCGCCGAATGCGGAGGATGGTGTAGTATAATGTTCTGGATTAGGAAATAGTCGAGGTTAAGGTAGGTAAGGAAAGAAATGTATGGGGTATCAATAACAATATAAGCAGAACAAAAATGAGGGAAAATGAGGAGCAGCATGCATATATAACTTGCTTCAAGTATTAATTTTTTTTTAATATTTTCTCTTTTTTTTTCCCCTTGGTTTCTAATCTCTTGCTTTTTGATTTCATGGCACCGTCACTGGGGAGTCATTAGTCTCGGACCCCTGCCGGCTTTGGCCCTAAAAAAACGCCCTCCCGTATCCACCGATAGCCCGCTGAGGGAAGAAGAAGCAGGATAGAAATCCGTTTCAGGCCAATCACCGGGCCGCAACGCCGGAATTTGTGGCATTAATCGGGGTTATGCACACATTTGTCCGTCAGCCAACGTCGGCCTTGGCCGATGTGGAGCAAGCAGCCGCCATCTATTGAAGCTCGAGATCCATGGACGCTGGACACCTCGTGGTCTGGATCATTAGCATAAGGTAGGTAGTACAGGCACAGTGGCTGATATGAATCTTTGTCGGTATATCAACCATACGAAGCAGTTCCTGATCATAGTTGGATTCGAGCTTGTGTACCTCTCTGCGGGGTATGAATCAAACTGCAGAAGCATGGACTGGCACAGGGTACTCCGTAGACTGAGTTCAATTGTAGCGTCATTGATCATCAACCTCGATCCCAATGCGCACTACGGATGAATGTGCCAGGACCTTGCATAAAATGTCTGTTTTAGGACTAGCGTATCCCAGCACTCGGCTCTCGGCATCTCGTCTACGGAACTTTACCTTAGTAATGTAGCAATCAAATTGTACAACCTGCAGCCACTGCTGCAACTGCAAGGGCCTGATCATCTAATCTCCGCAAGAGTCAAGACAGGTCAATATGTTACGTTGAGATGCCGCTTATCTCCGTTAAAGATCATGCTGTACCATACTATAATGTATAACTTTACCCTCACTTGATTATCAATCATGTATAATTTTATCACATCTGCCAGAGCCACGTAATAGAAATTTCTCAATGGAAGTCTTCTGGTGTTTTGGCCGAGGCTCAGTTCATGAAACTCCTGGATGCTTCTGGTTCTGGTGTCGCCACCGACGCTAAGCCTCAGACATGGTCTTGGCATTTGGTCTAATCCCAAATTTTTCTTGTTGGCATTAGCCTAGTCTATATACTGTTCCAGATGGTGAATGATCTCTTGGCAATATACAGTAGGAAATCTTATCGCCCACGGTTCGAGTCAGGAGATGATCATGCCGTCATTTGTAGTCGATCGTCTATCAATCAATCTCAGCCTTTTCAAACCTTCATAAGTCAAGACCCTTGGATGGTCGAGTTCTCGATAGGTTACTTCGGTCAGGCAGCCAGATTTTTATCCATCAAACGCCTTAGTCTATAAGTCGTGTCGGGGGATCTATAAGTCTATCCCTTGTATGACCCACTCTCATTTTATCCCAATGATTGATATCTTACATTCATAAATTATTGGGGTGCATAACTGTCGAATGACAGTTTCGCGTGGACCACGTTGTGGAAGCATATACGGAGCGTAGTTCGTATCATTTATTCGGAGTTACCTTCTTCCTGATGTATTACGCTCTGGCACCTCGATATCCATGCTATCTGCAGTAGAAATATATCGTCGTATTGATCTTGGCAACCCGAATCCAACACTCAATTGGAACGCTTCGGGCTCTATCTGTTCTGGAATGATTACTCAAGTGTATACGTGGTACAGAGCGTCTGCAACATCCATATTCGGTGCACTACTTTGGCCTTGCACTGATCAACAGTTCGGGCTTTCAGGCACAGCCAGACTCTGACTCTCTGTATGAGCCAGGCGAATCCAGTTCTAGCATTATTCTGATTTCAACCCCACCATAGCCGTAGGCTTGTAGCACGGATCCGTAATCCCCGAGTCACTACGAATACATCCCAGCTTAATGTTATGCAGTAAGCACGGTCTCATAAGTACCATTTGGACTTCAAGGAACTCATAGCTAGCAACTCAGATCAACAAAACACACATTACTCTTAATCAGCTCAAAAATATGACCCATACCTGAGTGCCCCGGTAAGTGTGTCTCAAATAAAGACGTTGATGATAAATCAAAGCAGTGTGGTCTCGATAAACCGAGGCACATCTCCCGTTCTTATCAAAGACCGATAGCACGTACCCCTTCTAAAATCACCCCTGTTATTGTGATCAGTAATTAAGCATAGAGAAAACTGCTTGGGTGCACATCTGCATAGTAGCATAGAAGCAGTTCAGTACTGGAATCCAGTTTATCTTGTCGCCCGTGACACCGTTGTACCACTCTAGGCATATCATATGTCAATTCAACCAAGAGATTTGCTCCCCAATCAAATCTAGAAAGAGACCTACTCTATTGAGATAATCTTCAAGTTCTGCGGCGGACGAAAACGGAATAGGAGGCTCGCTGTCTCGGAAGAAATGATGCCTGTAGGTGCCGCCCTTAAAGCTCCCAAAACATCAGGTGGCGGTGGGATACTGATCAACTCGGAAATGGCTTGTGCCATCTGTTCATCCGACGCAGTTCTCTCGAAGTCGATTTCAATATGCTCCATGACTACGTATGTATATCCCCTGCCCCCGTTCCTGCCCCCGCCCACCTTAAAAGCGTGGTAGACCTCAGGAATCCGGATGGTGGCGTTGCTTCTTTCCCTACTCTTCTGATAGAAGAATACCTGCGCGTGGGCTTCCTCCATTGTGACATTGTTATATTTGATATAAAGAGGTATTGCCTTCCGCGGAATAGGTGAGGGTACTGAAGTCAAAGCCCTTTTTCTTGCAAAGGCGCACCACCACATCTTTGGAGGGCAAGCCAGGGATGGAAGGGTTGAATATTTCGCTTCGAGTAGTCGACATAATGGTAGCAGTGTTGTCTTGCTGAAAATGAAGGATGAAGGGGGGGAAAACGTTGAGGACGATGACCAGGATGTAGAATCCATGGATGAATACGCAGCCCTAGACCATTAAGATGTGTCTCTGTCATCGTTGTGAGGGTTCGCTGTGATCATTAGATAGTCTAGATGTGCTCTCATGATGTTTTACTGGTCAGACAGCCTGAAGGCAGTCATTTCTTTAGTTAAATTAGATCTGGCATGTGTGTGTATCATCTCACAATTTGGCGTGTCTATGTAGAAAGATATGTATATTAGCAATAAAATAGAGCAAACTGAGCTACATTGAGTCTATTAAAAGGTCTTTATTACTGCTACTGAAATTGAGACTGGCAAATAGCCTTTGTTTACTGTCTGCTGTTCTGTTGCTATAGTTAGCTAGATAACTTTCTGTTATTGTTCTTCTCTTGTGCTGCCCTCACACCAGAGCACCTTTCTTAATCAAGTAAGTTCCTTTATATTTATCACTATCCTTTAATCTAGGGTGATGTATTTATGTGTGTCTATGTGTTTGGTAGACTGACCTAACATCCCTGAGAAAGACCTGATCATTATACGCCAGCTCAAGTTAGGTCATGGACTGTCACGTGAGACGAGTCCTATATTAACTCTGCTCTTAATATTCATCATCCACCATACACCCCTCTATTTCTACTGCCAGCTAACTCCTACGGAGTAATCAGAGGACGTCCACACCTGGGTAAGCCCTTCTCTCTCTTGCAAGTCCGTGCGTATGTGCAATAACGTATGTGCTGGCATATTATATTACACACTGACTCGTCAGATAGTAGGTTATGAGGTTCTGAGACAAAGGCTTCCATGGGACGCTGAATTTCTATGGAACAGACAGAAGATGGACATTTATCCAGGATACATCCAAGGGGCGTAACCCGTACGATGGATGTCATCACCATCATCTTCCGACAACTTTGTCTTACATCTACCATCATCCACTAACCTACTATCCAGCTATCTCGTCTAGTCATGGATGATACCTTCTTCCCTGATGAGCTTTGGCTCAATAGGGAAATCCAGTTCACCTCTCCTTCACCCTCCACCTGGAAACTGACCGTGAAAATCATAGAAAGCTTCTCACTTTTGAGCCAGAAAGAACCCGAGGATTACCAAGACACTTCCTTGTCTACCGCTATATTTGAATGTCACCGCTCTAGCGATCTGACTTAACAGACACTAGTGATATCTACATGCAGATCCCCAATAAGGGGACTCAGGCTCTGCTCCCCGACATGCGCCGCAGACAAGCTTCTGGCGAGGCCCCTAACATCTTACAAGAGGAGCGTGAAGCCTACGAACGCCTGGCCAAACACTAGATTGATTTTACTCCTCAACTCGTCGGCTTCAAGCACGAAAAACAAGATGTTAACAGTCTGGTCCTGGATGGATTTCTATCTTACATAGCCTACACCAAGGTTCCAGGCGTCGCTCTGGGCCTGAGGACTTACCGCTCTGGAGATGGTTCTGACATCCCCGACGTCAATGTGGCCTCAGATGCGCCCAGTACCAGAGCGCCTGGAAAGCGTATCACGCAGTATAGCATTTCCGAAGGGTTGTTCTGGACCATGCGCAGAAGTAAGAGAGACCTGATTTAGGACAAATTCAACATGGTTTACAGGTCAGCACCCAGTAAATATTGTCTGACGTATACTGACCTTTCTCATTGTGGAAGGAAACTTCTCGCAGCAGGCGTTAAGGTCAATTATCCTTTTCTGAATAATCTGTTTTGGGATCAGAACACATAGCAACTGTCAGTTTCACTTTGACTTTTTCACAGCGGATGATAATCTAATTTTGCGTTATGAATCTAACTACATTGACAGTGTATTCGTGCCAAAAGATGGAATGGTTACCTGGCGCCCGCGGGTTGTGGGCTCGTGGGGTTTGGCTGTGTTTCCTGGTGAACATAACATGGGTCTTCAGGATGAAAACGACGAGGATTTTGTTGCTGCAGGCTGGATCCTGTAGGCCTGCTCTCTTGCAAGGTCTACCTGTGGCTCCTGTCGGTGTTTCGTCCACGGATGGCGGTCGAAGACAGACTCAACGTCCCGAACGAAGCCATCCCTTTCTTATAATTCTGGTGAAGTGAACTGGGTGAGGGCATACAACGAAGCAAGATAAAGGGGAAAAAAACATACAACAGCGAGGAGGTCTACAGACCTACGGACTAGCCGACAGCCATCGGATGAGAAGCCAGCGAGCTAACGGTGTCATTCTCCGGCCACCAGTGCCGAGTGTACCTACTAGAGACTGCATAAGGATGACATTGATGTAGGTCGAGAAGCATGCGAACGTTGATATAGATATTGAGGATAATATATTGTCTGGGAACTTCGCAATAGATATATCAGGAATCAAAGGACGCCAATGCTTTCAATATCCCAGACACAATGTAACATCTCCCTAGAATAGGATTCTAATGCAAAGTAAACAACTTGAGCTGCTGCGCACCATCATTGAAGTCGACAATACCGCCCACCCGATCGTCGCCATTCGAGTCGGGTCGCACACACTCATCACGCAGCCCTTCAAACCAATTTCCTACCAAACGGGCGTAGATACCACCACAGCCGGCTCCGGCACAAGCCATTCCACCAGGGTCCCCGGAGCACTACACGCACGTATTAATCTTCTGTTCCCATTCACTCTGCAGGAAGGGAAGTGGGAATACTCACTCGAAAACCACAAATCATAAATGCTGCACCTCCACCTCCAGAGTACCCCCTGTTGGTCCCGCCGCATCCGTTTGACGTAGGATTGCATAGGTTCTCGCCCTGAGGCGCGTTTTTTAGGTTGTCGATAAGCTCGTTGACATGGTGTAGATAGGGGCTGCCGTCGCTGGTCTCGCAGATATATTTTTCTTTGGCTGTAGCTCCTGCAGCGAGTGCTGCGGCAAGAAGGGCGTATGTAAACTTCATTGTGACTTGATGATTGTTGAAATGTGGGTGATAGTTGGAGATGCGATGAGTGGCTTGGTAGGTTGAATGTCTACTGAGGGCAACCAGACCCTTCTTATATTTTCCAGTCGAAAGAGTCTCTAACTTATCATGTCTACATAGTTATGCTAGCAGCACTTCAATGCTACTTGGATTTCTTTTACAATTCCTAACAGCTCCCAGTTAGCCTTATAGATATGTAACGTGGGGGCGAGAAAGCCTGTGTTGGGGGGTCTTGTGGAGAGCGCCGAGGAAACTAATTACAGCTGGATATCAGTACAGCCTGCCTGGATGGAGTGGACGATGGCAGGGACAAGACCGCTAGTCTTACATGCCCTGAAATTCGGCCTCTGTGAGGATACCCCGGAGATTAATATGGAGATACAGTGGAGACTTTCTCATGTTGGTTATACAAATGACCATGCCATTAGGGCCAACTCGGATCTTTCTCAGAGATTGATGCCATGAAATCGGCCGGAGATTTCCCGCATTTGCCTACTTCTACGTAAGAGTTATAGAGCAATAAACAGAGCAGCCAGTCGGAAAGTTTCCCTCTTGCCATATTATACATAGAAATTTAGTGGGCATTACTTGGATATATCTTCTACTGAAACTCTCTATATTTCAGTTGCAAAGTAACAGACGAACTTAACATTAGAAAGGTGTCTCAAGACAATCCACAATCTAACACATCCTCCTACATCTCTCCCAAAATCACCGCACTTTTTGTCGGCACTACATGGAATTGACCAAAGAATAACATGGAACTATCCCAGCCCCAAAGCAAACAACCCAACGCTAACAGCCTATATTAGTAATAGTCAAAACTAGACCCACACTGGACTATTCCTTTCGGATCTAAAAATGAACTATGGGGCCAATTCCACTTCATCGAGGCTATCTCACCAAGTTCGGTTGTCGATGACGTCTGTAAACAGATCTTGGAAAGGAGAAGGGCAGGATTTTGTTTTTGTTTACAAAGGCAGTAGGGATTTCACTGGAATGTAGGTTTAATTTCATACATATTTTATGCTCAGGTGTCTATACGCTGGCTGGTAAGCCTGGTGACTGACAAGGATTCTACTATGTAGAAATAGTTAACCGAAGGGACAGATTACGTCATTCAACTGCGATACTATGCCGAACGTTCGTAGAAATGTCGTCAACATGCCCATATACTAGACAAACAAATAGGAGTGTTCAATCAATCTTGCTCAGCCATTCATCCCCCCAAATGCTTTATGTTTGCACCCTCACCTGTATCAGATTCAAAGTCAACCATGGTTTCCTCGTCAGAGCTCTCAATATCTATCCACAAGTGCTGGTATATGGACTTTTCATTAGCCGGGTAGCCCGTTGACCTTAACCAACCAAATATTCCACGGGTAGAGGCMTCAGTTAGTAATTAGATTTATACTATCGTCAAGACCGACTGGAGAAAGTTTCAAACGTTCCAACATATGCAGATATATTCTACCTGAGCCTATCGTACTAATACCCGGATTTCCTGGGTCTTCAACTTGTTTACCATCTAAAAGAGTCCATACCCAAGTAGTATAGTTTAAAGAATGACATCCGCAGTGAGCATGGTGCTGAACCGTCAGCTCTGTGATACAGAGCTGATTCTCTCCAAAGGGCTTCCAAGGGCAGCTAGGGACTCTATTATATCCCTCTAACCCCATCAAAAAGAGTAAGCACTCATCTTCACGGTCGATGGCCTTTCTATCAGTGACCTGGGGCTGCGACAAAAAAAATTATTGTTCTATCCCAGTCCAAGCACCAGCATTAAGGTCTATTGCAGTAAGACCAGTTCGAATATCTCGCAACATAGACTTAACGATGCCTACTAGCAACACACTGAGCCAGATACTACCCAATTTTGGCTCCCAGGCCGCCATGATTTTCGTAATCACTGAAAACCTCTCATCCTGAATCAGGGGGTCTATTATTGCAAAGGCGGGATTAAGCTAAGCACTGACAAGATTACACTTAATATCAGGATTAAAGAATGTGCTGTAAAGCAGAGACCTCATTCTCCATACATTACGCTAGAAGACCATATCATAGTAGGTGGTATCCAGGTGTCGTTCAACATTGTGTTGGAAGTGAGGTTGCAGTTCTACTGGAGATATACCACAATAGGCCGTAGAGATATATAAGCTGCCTACCCCATGTAACTTCGACTGTCAGCTATCCCAAACGTTTCACTCAACCTCCCTCTTGTACTGTATGGGATCGCGATTCTCTTCAGAATCTAAGCACTCATCCATTGGGGCCTCATAAGATAGGGTACAAGCTCAATAGGTCTATCTTCGTTGATAATGAATCTGGGGGTCTATATCAATTCGACTCGTGTCTGGACCTTCGGATAGTATGAAGCTCGCCTCATCTCAGCTTTGCTTGGTCTCGTATTGATATCAAACTCACCCCACTGTTCTCCGTCTTCAGCTGTAGAGTAGACCAGCTCTCAGATCTTGCTCTCCACTCGAAGCCTGCATTTTACTATCATCTAGTATTTTTACCTCTGTCCTGTCTCTTGACGGCTACATAACTCATCACCCACCCTCCCTAAGTCATCTTCACCACTCCAGTATTCCTACCTGTGCATGATAGGCATTTAGCATTCTTCAGCATACATTCTCAACAAACACATCCTCATTCTCATCGACCATGGCCAGAGTCCGAGTCAGACCAGGGCTACACATGAAGAGCGCACCAAGCTGGCACCGGCGCAGAATGCGGCGCCTCAAGGGCAGGCACGGATTGGCAATCCGCCAGCGTTGCCGCCGTGTCCTATGCCGACGCGACAGGGCTGTAAGTACCCACGGATTCAGATTCGCACGATGCATGAGCTGATTGATAGCAGCCCGAAGAATTGGTGGTGCTGAGAGGAACCTCATCTGATCGGGACTACTAACGAGCGAGCCTCTGTTCCGGTGACTAGTCAGGCAGGTGTGCCATGACCTTGGCCGTCCTCATCTGAGGATCCATAAGCTCGCGTTCCAGGGGATACAGGAGGTTGCGGAATTCTTTCTCATCAGAGAGTTCAAATGTGAGATGGTCTCGACCTGATCTGCAGTAATCAATATCATAACCTCACCTATGATAGTGGCCGAATCTGCCAGAAAGCACGCCGGCCATCAGGAGAGAGGTCGAAGATATGCGGTTTGCAAGCATGGCAAGAGAGTGGTTTAGTTAGACAAGGGGCAGCGCAGGGACAGATAAGTCTGTCATACCGAATTTCCGGGATCTTTTTTTTTTTTTAACAGAGAACCATGCTTCGAGTTATCTTTCAAGGCGTTGGCGAAGATTGAATGCTTAGGCCAAGTTGATTGGATGGTTCGCTCGGCGATGGCCCTCGGCGATAAGATGAACAAACAAACTAAATCGGAAAGTTGCGGTCTTTCGGCACCGGATAACGTGAGGCGCCCGACTATCTTTTTGACTCAAATTCTATGCATGACAAATGAATGTTTCTTTCTTACATATAGCACTATTCTTCTTTTTACCTTCGCTTTTTCATATCATTCTTTAGAATCTCATGGGGTTTTCCATGCCATTAATTTGATTCCTATGATCTCTGTTGCTGACCCGAAACAACATCGAATTGCGCCTTATCGTCGGTCTTTTGCGCAACTTTTCTTATCGCCATTGTCGAGTCATATCGCCAATCGATCAACGACTGCCTTTGCGTGTCGCACATATACGGATTATAGACTGTGATATTACCTATCCCATCGCCTCTCATGGGACATCTTTTGCAACATGGAAGGACGACTGTGAGGCAGTTGAGCAGAAGAACAATCCGGCCACAACGATCACAACGAAGGCACCACTCCTCCGAGGCATCGCCTAATCCTGTCCGTGAGAAGAACAGCACATCAGCAAACGCTTCGCGATCGAGTGCTCCACCGTCATCCACATCGGCATCCTCCCCACATACCTGTCCACCCGCAGGCACACCTTCAGCTGCCTCCACCCCCGCCCTCTCGAGTTCGCGAACGTTCTTCCAGGCCATTCAGGCAGGACCCATTGGTAGAGTGGCAGAATCATACGCCAGAGTACAACAAAGGAGACCTTATGCGACGCAGGTTGTCAGTTCTATTGTGATATATCTGTGCGGCGACCTGAGTGCGCAGTTGTTGTTTCCCTCCGACAGCCCGGCGCAAACACCACGGGCTGCTTCTGAAGAGAACCCTGCGGGCTCGGCTGAAGATGGCGAGGTTAAGGCTGCTTCGAGTGGAGGGTACGATCCTCTGAGAACTATGCGACATTTGACAGTTGGTGTGGGATCTGCCATTCCGTCTTATAACTGGTATGTATTGTCCTACCGTTGGCCTTGAGCACATCTGGCTGATGCGATCCACCTTCGCTAGGTTCATGTTCCTCCACAACAACTTCAACTTCCAGTCCAAATTCCTTTCCATTCTCACCAAAGTCTCCGTACAACAAGCTGTCTTCACACCCATTTTCAATACGTACTTCTTCAGTGTACATTCTCTTCTCGCTGGCGCGTCCTTTGAAGAGACATTCGAGCGCTTGAAGGTCGCTCTGCCCGTCAGCATATCGAACAGTGTCAAGCTCTGGCCAGCCGTCACGGCCTTCAGCTTCATGTACGTGTCTCCGCCTTTCCGGAGCATCTTCGCCGGTGTCATCGCCGTCGGCTGGCAGACCTATCTCAGTTGGTTAAACCAGAAGGCCGCCAGGGAGGTCGAGGCGGAAATGGCCGAGTCGGAACATTCGTCTCAAGTGCTGGCCTCCGGCAGTATTACCCCTTCGACAACGATAAAAGCATGAGGTACCTTTTCCATGACTGCGCTTTTTCATATTCTCTCCTTTGCATATCTTAGACTTGCAAGCGCGATCGATTCTGAGTAGACGATACATTGCCCTGTCTTCTTGAGCGTTGCGTTTTCAACGAGTACATAGACTAGAACTATTCTCATACATTATACCCTAATACAATAACAAATTTCTCAGTG